TTATACAGAGGAAGCATTGAAGCTAGAGAAGGAGAAGTTGTACCAGGCCATTGGTTATAGTGAGAAAGGAAAAGCAGCAGATTATCCTAAAGAAGTAAGAAAAAGAATCCAATGAGGTTTTCTGTATAATGTACATGCACATGTGTGCAAATTTAATGCATTAAAATTTCTCATTTATACTCTGTGTATCTATTTTATTCCAATAGTATGTAGCTCATGTTGTTAATCTGGATGTATTGTCTGTGTCACTCAATCTTCAATCGGAGGGTGTGAGGTACAATGTATCTTAACATTGATTATTATGTTACTCTGTTTTCCACACAGTATTAGCCAGTTGTCCATCAGTGATATTAACTGTCAGTTTCAAAACAGGCCAGCATCCAAGAATATCAGGTATGCCGTAATTTACCTTTTTTTCGTTGTGGAAATATTTTCGTATGGTCCTAAAATGACGAAAATATTTCAATTGAAAATTTTTGAGCAACCAAAATTTGTGACCTAATTCATCAAAGAAAGACTAAGGTACGGCCTGATAAGTAGGTATCTTCTTGCAGCTCTAACCTTGCTCTATCCACTGGTGCTTGCTGTACTTCAATCAGTTGCTTCATTACTGAGTTATAAAATAAAACGGTCCACCATGTGACAAAAGTAGCCATTTAATGTTTCCGTTTATTATCCGTAAATTAGTCATTGCTGCATCTCCAGTACTATCCGTATACTAGTAATGTCGGGGGGAACAGCCAGGTCAAGAATCTCTTATCTCAAGAATTATAAACACTACTATAGCGGCCTTGTTACCAGTAGGTAAAGGACAGGGTATATGCAAGAGAAGCTAAATTTTCAGACTGTAAAAATTTTTGTACACTATGAGAAGACGAAAATATTTCCATTTGAATTTTTCTGAAACGAAAAATTTTTGTACGAAAAAAAGCAAATTACAGTACATATATACAAGTATATGTACTGTATTTTTAAAATTTATACATGTACATGCATGCGTAACGGACATACAGTACATGTACAATGTACATGTATACATGTACATGTATACATATATATTGTTTAATGTGAATGCATGATTAATGAGACAATTAGTACTGAATATAGTAAATATACAACAGTCCATGTGAATGTATTGTAAACATTTACACTGCACGAAT